GTAGGACTTATCACACTAGGATGTAAAATGTTTACCTTAGAAAATAAGATAGAGTTTAGTACATTATCTAAGCAATTAGAAATAGTGGCCAAAGAGCTTTCTATAATAGAAAGCTCTTTGGCTTTTATTAAGTAAAGCATATATTTTAGAGATGTGTGATAATTGGTCATTGTTTTTGAGAATTTGGGATAACACAATATTTAAAGAATTTATTTGAGAATTTAATTTATTTTCATTCATATTTAGTTTATATATTGTTGAGTTAAAAACATTAATAGACGATTGAATTATGTGGATATTATCCTTCATTAGTTTTAGTAGTTCGGATTCGCTATTTTGACAAGCGCTAATGGCTGCATCGTACTTTCGTGCATCATCAGCATCTAGAGTTCCAAAAAAGAATTTCAAAAATTCTCCACCGAATTCTAAAGCTCGTTTATGCCTTGTTTGTTTCTCGGTAGAAACTATATACGACAAAGATTCGACTTTAGCAAAATTTGAATTTATTAATACTTCAATAGGGCTTATGATATCATTACATTCAACGAAACCACGGAGTTGCAAGTTTTTGCAGAGTGTCGCAGTTTTGATTATAAGTGAATGTGTATTGTCTAGATGTGGCTTAAGTGAAACTACGTCTATATGCGTTACAACATTCCAAAAATCGTTATAAAAATTAATTGTAGTTATTTGATCGAAATAAATACCTGGACTATTATAAATAGGTAGAATTTGAGTTTCAGCGTTGAATTGGTGGCTTATGGCCCTGAAATAAAGTGAAATTAGGGATGAACTGGTTTAATTTCATTAATATGGTATTTCACATGCTTACGACCTATGAGAAGAATTATGTTTGCCATTTAATTTAATTATTTTATAAGGACCTTTCCAGATAGGGGATAAGGCTTTGCGAAGTCTATGGTGACATTTTAAATAAACCATATCACCTGTTTTGTAGGATATATTTTTACTATTTGTGTCATAATATTTTTTCGATGTTTCTTTACTTTTGATTATGTGTTCTAATGCCTTTTGTCGACTAAGATTCATGCGATATTGTAATGCGCGGATATATTCATGATAAGTTGTATCGTTACTCGTATTATATAAAGAATTAGGTATTGTTGGTTTATGCCCATATAGTAATTCATAGGGTGTATATGTAGTAGTCGTATGAGGGGTAGTGTTGTAGGAAAATACTGCAGTGGCTAAATAACAATGCCAATCATTCTGGTTTTCGTTAACAAAAGATTTAAGATATTCCTTGAGTGTAGCATGGCTACGCTCTAAGGCACCATTTGTTTGTGGGTGATAGGGGGTAGCATGTAAAGGTTTTATTTTAAATATTTCAATTACCTGTTTAAATAATTCCGACGTGAAACATGTGCCGAGATCTGTTAAAATCGTTTTGGGAATTCCGAACAGAGAGATAAATTGAACTAATGTACGAGCTACTTCGTCACTGCTGGAAGTTATCATTGGATATACACATAAGAATTTGGTTAGGTCATCTTGTAGGGTTAATATGAATTTAAAGTTTTGCAAACCAGCTTCGGGTAGTGGACCGACTATATCTAGAGCTAATCTTTCGAATGATCTTGTGCTTGTAGAAGTTATCACCACTGGAGCCTTATTACATATTCTTAGTGGTTTATTTACTTGGCACAACTTACAATTTTTAACATAATTTTCTACGTCGGAGCGCATGTTTTTCCAAAAATATAGATCTTTTAAGCGGTTTAACATCCTTTTAATTCCGGGGTGACCAGCAATTGTTGAGTCGTGATTTTCTTTGAGAATTCGTGGAATTTCGGCAGGAGTAGGGTAAATAATTTCAGTATATATGAATTTTAATATTAGTATTGTGAAATATGTAGGCAATTATATTTAATATTTTTGTATAGGATAGTTTAGAGAATGGGTCAGCAAAATCAGAAATGGCTAAGTCAGTGATTTAGCTATTTCTTGTTATAATATTGTCGCGTAGTTGCATTAATAAATTGTAAATATTTCGGTATGTTAACTCTTCGTAATGGTGGATTTTTGTATACAAGAAATAAAACGTTTTATTATTCTCCTTAACATAAGAGATAGTGTAAGGTTCTCGTTCTGAGTTTATTAAGCTTTCAGAGTTTTGCAACTGGGATAGAATATTTTTACAATATGGGATAGATTCATCAAAGTCGAGGGATACGGGGCAAACAATATTATTTAAATTAGAAAGGTGTAATGCTTCTTGATGTTCTTCGATCACAGTACTTGTGGAAATGGAACTAGTAAATTGCTTTTTAAAATATGATTCATATTTGAGTTTATTAAGGACTACATTCGAATTTAAGGCGTGAATGGGTATGCGGGAAAGAGCATCGGCGTTTGAATGTTGTTTTCCTTGTTTATATACAATTTCATAATCATATTCCTCTAACTTGAGGCGCCAACGAATTAATCTACTTCCTGGATCCTTAACATTAAAAAGCCAGACCAAAGGTCTGTGATCAGTGACTATTTTAAATTTGTTACCATAAATATAAGGATGAAATGTTTTTACAGCGAAGAGGATAGCTAAAAGTTCTTTTTCCGTTGTTGAATAGTTGCCTTCTTGTTTATTTAATGTTCTTGAGGCATACGCGATCGGTTTGTCTTTTCCGATAGGACCTTGCGATAATACTGCGCCAACGGCATAATTACTGGCGTCTGTGGTGACAATAAACGGTTGCGAAAAATCGGGATATTGAAGTAACGGAGCTGAAGTTAATTTTTCATTTAACAAATTGAAAGCTTGGGTTTGTTCTTGTGTCCAATTAAAATTAACATCCCTTTTTAATAATGACGTAAGGGGTTTTGTTATATTTGAAAAGTTATCTATAAATCGACGGTAGTAACCTACTAGACCTAGAAATGATTTAATTTCCTTGGGATTTTTGGGAATAGGATAATTGGATACTGATTTTACCTTGTCAGGGTTAGGTGAGACACCTTTGTCAGTAATTACATGACCTAAATAAGGACTTCGCGTCGAAGGGACTCGCATTTATCTGGTTGTAGTTTCAAATTGAAATCTCGAAACCTATCAAAACAAGACGTAATTTTTCCATATGACTTTGAAGATCGTGGCTGTAAATAATACAGTCATCTAAGTAGACGAAACAGTGGAGACCTTGGAGAACAGAAAGGACGGTGTTCATGAGACGTTGAAACGTACTAGGAGCACCTTTTAATCCAAAGGGCATGCGATTAAATTGAAAATGACTGGAAATGCCATTTGTGTTGATTACTGTAAAACCAGTCTTTTCAGCATCGTTAGGATTGAGAGGAATTTGATGGAAGCCGGAAACTAAATCAAGTGTCGAAAAATATTTAGAATGTCCTAATTGATCTAATATATCGCTAATTAATGGGATAGGATAAACTTCATTTATGATCACATCATTAAGTCGCCTATAATCTATGACAATGCGCCACTTCTTTTTGCCAGATGCATCCATTTTCTTAGGCACGGCCCACACTGGGGCGCTCCACGGAGATATTGACGGCTTAATTATATTTTGTTTTAACATTTTTTTTTAATTGTGAATCTACTTCGTCTTTATGGCATTGAGGAAAACGATATGACTTAACGTGAATAGGAGGGGTGTTCCCTGTATTTATCGAGTGTTGAATCGCGTTTGTACAGGTGAAGTCGTCTCCTTCGAGATAAAATATATCTGAGTATTGTGAACAACAGTCTAGTAAAAGTTTTTTCTCCTCAGAGTTTAAATGAGAATGACGAATTTGTTCGCAGACGCGTTGAACACGATTAGAGTGGGTTGTCGAAATTGTATTTATGTTATTACACGATTCAAAAGATTTGGAATATTCAATAAAATCGATCGGCGTTAAGTTAACCTTGAAATTTTTTATTTTAATTTGCGATTCGGTTGTGTTTAAGACGGAAACGTTAACTCTTTTATTTGCTTTTAAAGTCACTAGGCAGTTCGCTAAATAAACACCATTACAAACGGTTTGATCTAGTATGAGAGCATCCTTAAGGTGACGCAACTCGGACGGGTTATTCGATACGGAGCATTCGATAACAGTTTCGCTACGCGCCGGTATAATGTAAGTAGGTTCTGAGAAGTGGATAGGCACAGATATAGAATTTTTAAAACAAAGCGAATAAATATGATAATCTATATTTACCTTAAAATGACTGAGGAAATCGCTTCCTATAATTCCGTCGTAATCAATATTAATATCATCTGATGTAACATGAAATTTGTAGTTTATGGAAAAATTATCTAAAATGAAATCTAACAGTAATGTTCCTAACGTTTCGTTACAAGATTGAGTGCTGTTTATACCCTTGAGTTTTATGATTTCATTGGAGAGCGTAAATTTTCCATTTAAACTCGATTTTTTTATAATAGAAACACTTGCGCCTGTATCGAGTAGTAATCGTAAGGGTTGAACAGAAAGATTTGACCTAAAATAAACATGGGGTAGTGATGTTTTCTTACTTGATATATTCATAATATACGTTGGTATTTCACCTTTATTATTAGTTAAATCATAGGTAGGGTTAGTATGACTCGAAATATCGTTTCGAGATGTAGGTTTTGTATAAGAAATAGCATCTTTATTAGATATAGAATTGGTATAAGAATTAGTACAAGAATTAGTATTATAATTATTTCTAAGACTCTGATATTGATTCAGAGATGTCCTGGGATGATTTTCCCGAGGTAATAAATAATTAGTATTTTGACTTTGACCTTGTGTCAAAGATGGACTCGGGTATTGTTCCCGAGGTGTAGAGTTAGAATAAGAAATAGTATTTTTAAAATTACAAGATTTAGTAAGACTCGGCGGCATTTGATGTCGCTGAGGTGTATTATAAGAACACTTTTTATGATAACTATAATTAAATTCGTTATCATTATAGATAGGCTTAGTATAAGAGTTAGTAAAATTTGTGCCTTGGAATATTTTCGATTTCGGTAGGCACTTTTCCGAAATCAGAGTTAGTTTAAATCTTCGTTACAAATATCGGTACTAGAGGTAGATGGTTGTGCGTTACATAAATGCATATTATTTCTATTAGGTGTGTGTGCACTGGGACTTGGTAACGTAGTCGTCGGGCGAGTATCCGGTTGCATATTGCGACGAATGCTATTGTTATATTGTCGCTTGCGACATTCATTTATCATATGTCCCGGATTTTTACAATAGCTACATATTTTAATAAAGTTTTTATTTGAGATGTTATGAGAATTAGGATAGTTACTATTTTGCGGATTAACATAATAAGCTCGATGAGATTGTTTTTTCTTATTATAGCAGCTGGAAGAATCATGACCGGATTTTTGACATATAGAACATTGTTTATATGATTTGGAAGAAATTTTGCTTAGAATATATAATTTTTCTTCTTCTATGGCATGCGTAATCGCTTCGCTTAAGTTTTTCGGATTTCGGCATCTAACAATATATCCATAATTAGAATTTAAACCTAATATAAAAGTGTTGAGGGCTAGATCCTCCATAGCGGCAATTCTTCCTACTAGCTCGGACTTATTCTCAGAACTATAATGTATATCAGATTGTAATCGCGTTAAACAAGATTCAATTCTAAGCGAGTATTGCATTACGGTTTCTGAGTTTCCCTGTCTACAGTTTTGGAGTTCTATTAAAAGGTGTGTGGAGTGTTTCTTTTCGCCAAAGGTAGTTTTTAGGAATATTTTTAATTCATCCCAACTATTAAAAGTTTTTAATGAGCACGCGATTTGGGCTTTTCCCTCTAACTGGGATATGATATAACGATACAGAACTGATTGCTGTTCCGAATTCGCGAGTAATATGGCGTTATCACAATTTGTTAAGAATGCTGGAAGTGATTCTCTGTCGCCGTTGTAAGGTTTAATAAATTTTGTAAGGACCGATAAGGGAATTTTGTCAGACATTTCTAGTTCTTCTGGTTTTTCCTTTAAAGTTTTAGTCTTATGCATGTGGAATAAGAAAAATAGTTAAGGAGTTAGGAAATACAAAATTGGTGAAATAAGGATATGGTATACAATTGATGACAAAATGTAAAGAATTAGAACAAAGTAGTATAAAATTATCGCTAAATTAAGGTTAACTTACAATATCACGAACATTACGGCGAACATTGGTTGCTATGCGGGTGTCGTGTTGCGATGATGTGCAGCGGAGTCGAGTTGCCGTGAGACCCAGGGAGTCGTTTGACGGCAGCGTCTACGTGGTTGTGCGGTGGGAGTGCAGCAGCTCAGGGCAGGCTCACACGCGTGGGGTGAAGACTGACAGCCTTGATGAACTTCGGGTTGATGACGATGGAGATGCCTCAAGCTCGTGGGGCTGAGACCTTGTTTGTGTTTCGGATGATGCAGGCTCACACGCGTGGGGTGGAGACTTACTGTCGATCTTGCTTCAGAGTTTCCCAGGATTCGGATGCCACGCTACCGATATACGAGTAGACCGTGTGACAATCCCACTTCTGACACCAAATTTGTTAGGAGGGCCGCTCTGAAGGTGTTTTTAAAAAAAACTTTTACATCCAATCCCAGAAGTTCTTTTGGTTTATTTCCCCAATATTAAAATAATACAAAAAATGTACTAAAGCCGCGAAAGGCGTGTGCGATATGCACTTAATATGGGTTGGAGCTGCACTGCCTCGATTACCTCAAACACTACGCTTATATACGAAATAAAATAATCGGGTCAGCGCTTTTAACTAAATAGGGTTGGACATAACAGCGCACTCTGACTAGATACCGCCGGCGCTCATGTAAAATGCGGCAACAAATACTACGCCGAAATCGGCGTACCCGAGCCAGTCGCGATGCAGGCAATGTGTGAGGTGAACGTACCGATTGTTTTATTAAATTTTGATCATAACCGGAAGTAAAATACCAGTTTACGTATTGAAACTGTGTAAAAATAATACTACAAAAAATAAGAAAGACTCTGAAATCACATACTATCATTAAGTATCATACAATTTCAAAATTTTAACATAAAATAACACGAGCTATAAATAAGTTACAAAATATCAATGACGCTATTCAGTTTTGCCGCGAATGCAAAAATAAAGTTCCCCGTGGCTGAGATTTTTATATGTGAATTTATTGTTACTATATTTTACAGGATAATATATTTAACTTATTATAATATAACCTAATTCTATATTATTTAATGTTTGTTTCTGTAGTATTGCTCAAATGACATTATTGCCGTTTATTAGGGTTCCGTACCCAAAGAGTATCAACGAAACCCAAGTCTCCACTATCGTCCCGTCTGTCTGTCAGTAGACTGTATCTTATGAACCGTAATATGTAGAAATTTCACAGAATGTGTATAGTTATAGTGTGAAATATTGCTGCTATAATAACATATATTAAAAAAAAAACAAGTAAAATATTAAAGGACCCAAAAAACCATGTTTCTTGTATGAAGACCATACAAGAAACGTGATTTTTTTGTATTGATAAGTGTTTTGTTTACAGACTAAAGCAAAACCTGAATTAACACGCAATAAAATGATGCTGTGTGTATGTTAGGATTGAAAGGTTATCATGAGCATTTACCGCTAGGTAAAACCATCGATTCGGATCTCTACTACCAACAAATAATGAGACAAGCACGAAATAGAAAAAAAAACGGCTGGCATTGGTAATCAGAAAAGGAGTGGTCTTTAATCATGATAACGCCAGATCACAAGATTAGTTATCTGTTTGAAACTTTCAATATACACTAACATTCCTAAAAATCCAGTATTTGCTTGAGTACTTAAAACTAGTTTAAAAGTTTTAGTCATTATTTTCTTTTGTTGCTTGTGTTCTTTAAAAGAAAGCTTTCTGGAGGTTTTAATATTTAAGTTTATAATTTATTTTCTATTATAAATGGGATGACTAAATCCATGTTCCTTCAAATCTCTGGTATTGAATATATCAAATAAAACTACTTTTCGCATTTTTTTATTCAAAATCCCAAGTATTCTACAGCAACGTTTATTTTTTTATTATGTCACTACCTATAAGATGGTAACAAATTATCGAACAGAATGGACCCATATATATTATAATTAAATGTAATAAAACTTTCAAACAAAAACGTCTTGAATTTGTATACACGAAGAAACTTTTTCCCCGGTCTTATATACTAACTAAAGGTGTAATAAAATAGTACTTTATAACTGAGGGAATGATTCTGCCCGTCAACATGAATATTTTTTACTATGGGATCATCTTGTATACCTGTAGAAAATGTTAGAATTTCTTTTTAAAAAGGTCAAATTGGCAGACAGTTAGCATTAAAAGAGCGTGTAAAACTAAAAGATACTTATATAAAAAAATACTGAAATATAAGAAAAACGAATTATTACCGTATTATAAGAAATACTGCAAAATATTAAAATCCGTAACTCGTTTAGCAAAACAAAAATCAAATATAAAATTCATTAAAAATAGTAACAACAAAAATAAAGCTACATAGTACTTAATAAGAAAGCAAACCACTTCACAAAACATATTCAAAACAACAATTAAAAATGTGACCATTGATAATACTAATATCACGGATGCAGGTGCTATAGCAGAAGTTTTTAACACTTATTTTGCTACCATTAACACTCAAACACAAGTCACAGATACCTACCCTCTACCATCTACACATCTACATAGCCTATATTTATCACCCGTTAACGCAAATGAATTGAAAAAAATAATCATAAACCTTAAAAATAAAAAGAGTTGCGGCTATGACAATATATCGATCCAAATTATTAAAAAATCCATAGAGTATATTAGTGAGCCGCTTGTTTATTTACTTAACTTAATGATAGAAACTGGTACCTTTCAACATGAATTAAAAACAGCAAAAATCAAACCTTTGTTCAAAAAAGGTTCAAAATGTAATATTAAAGACTATAGGCCCATAGCTCTTTTATCCAACTTCTCAAAAATATTTGAAAGAATCATCTACGATAGGATTATAGAGTTTTTCAAAAAATATAGTATAATAAATAAAAATCTATTTGGTTTTCAGAAAAATAAATCCACTACACTTGCAATGTATGAAATACTTAAGGAAATTTGGGAATCTTTAAATAATAAAACTTCTTGCGTAGGTTTTTAGATATGTCAAGGGCATTTGACTGTGTAATATACGATGTACTTTTAAATAAACTTGACAAATTAGGTATACGTGGTTTGGCATTAAAACTGTTAGAAAGCTTTAAAAAAAAACTTTAAAATAGAAAACAACTCACAGCTATTGAAAAATTTGACAAAATCAGTAAAACTTTCGAAGAAGTACAGTCCAAGCCAGTTAAAATGACACTAGGCTTGCCACAGGGGAGTATTTTGGGCCCTCTGTTATTCTTAGTTTATGTGAATGACTTGCCAAATGTCACTGACAATAGATGTGTTATGTTTGCTGATGATGCAACTATCTTTATACCCGATACTCAAATGAATTTTGAAAATAACATAAATAAAAGCTTAAATATAGCAGTCGAATGGCTTAATAAATTTAATTTAAACGTAAATCTAACAAAAACTAAAATTATTCAATTCATAAATAACAAAACAAAATCTTTAAATTTAAATATTGCAGATAAAGACACCCAAATAGAAACAGTTGATAACATTAATTTTCTTGGAGTCACCATAGACTGTCATTTAAACTGGAAATCCCACATTGAAAAAATAAACAAAAAAATATCTAGCTATAGTTACGCATTATCCATATTAGCAGAAACAACTTCCGTTGATGTATCAAGGGCTGCATACTTCGGCCAGGTATACCCTCTATTAGTTTACGGCATTATTTTCTGGGGTAATTCTACAAACGTGCAGTCAACATTTATTCTACAAAAGCGATGTCTGCGGATCATTTATAATATGTACTCAGACGAAACTCTAAGAAATGTATTCAAAGAAAAAGGCTATCTCACTCTTACTAATATTTACATTTTAGAAATTTAAATTTTTATCAAACAGAATAACAAATATTTTCAGATTAAATCAAACTTGAATTCACGTCCAATACGTAGTAAATATAAGAACAATTTATGTACACCTAAAATTAATAATTACGTGTATTATAAGAGCACTTTTTGTACAGGTATTAAAATATTTAATCATCTGCCACCTAATATAAAAGCTGTGGACTTGCCAAGATTTAAAATACACCTCAAGAAGTGGTTAATATATAATGTGTTTTATAATTTAAATGAATATTTTAATACCAAACATTAATTTATATAAAGTTTTATTTCTTAATTATTGCATACCCGATATGGGTAAACTGTGTAACATTTAATTGCAATGTCACCCGCAAATTGTACATACACAGCTTATTGGCAATAAATATTCTGATTCTGATTCGAAATTTTCAATTTATACGTGATAGACCCATACTGCAGCTATATTACTGGTACAGTTGTAGCACGAGTGGGTCAGCTCAACCGGGGAAGGACCACGCTCTCACAGAATACCAGTGTAAAATAGGAGCTTAACGCTGCTGTGATTCCTATGGTGAGTGTAGAGAACCGGAGACCCTTTTTACTGGAAACGAGGCATTCCATCTTAGTTCTCAGGGGTTGCAACGCATTTGCATTTGCATTTTGATTCTTAACCGAGGATAGATGTATATGTCTATGGGCCACAGCAACCACCTACCATCAGGTGGACTGAGTGCTCGTTTGCCACCCTGATCCTGTAAAAAATATCTCAAAGTCAGTTATTCCATACAAAATTTCGAACAAACATGCTCAAAATGTATGGAAGACCTGATATTTCTTGCAATTTGGAAGATAGATCTATAGTAAAAGTTGTTCATATTGACGCGTAGAATAGAAAGCACTATTTTGATTACACCATATTTATAACTATTTTTTAAATAATTTGTGAATATAACTTAGACATGTAAATAAAAAATTAAACTGATAAAAAGGAGGTCTTATCATTTATATGTCAATATTCAGAAGAAAAACCTAAACATAATATACACAAATATATTGATACATTCGTTATTAATAAACTATTCATTTTTAAGTATTACTGGAATACCTTCATAACTATGAACTTAACTACTAAGCCATAGCATAAAATAAATTTTCCAGTTAATCGGGTAATAGTAAAGCTGCTGGCATATACAATTTTTCACGCACACTAGCATCATGCAAATTGTCTTAAACACACTACAATATAAGATGCCGCATTCATGGAGCTGTTATTTGCAGCAAGCGCGGTATCTAGTCAGAGCGCGCGATGACTTATCATTAATCAGTGGAGACAATAGTTTTGGGGCCCACTAGAAATTGTAACGTAACTTAATTTTATTACACATAAAAAAGATAATAATATTACTTTCACGACAAGATAAGAAAAAGTACCATGGAAATATAATTTCATCGCGGTCGCATTATAGAAAGAGTTGTCTCGGAATAATCTTACACTTTTTCTTGCCTAGCCCCCATCCGCCAAATTCGTACCTTGCGACAAGGAACTGCGATTTAAAATTCCGTGCGGGATTCAAACCTGCAGACCCGAGAACCGTAGCTGAAAACGCTCAGCCACTGCTCTACCGAGCTGTCAATATCCATCTGCCTGTCTTGTCAAGTAATAGAACTCGTAAATTGGCCTGTTACTCGTAGTCCCAGTTACTAAACCAAAGTTACAGAACCAATTAGAGACTGACAACGTCCTTTTAGCATCCAAACGAATTTCAATTACGCCTACAAGAAATCTACATATGTACTATTCGGTTGGTTTAATTACTTTTTCTACCAATTATTTACTTCTTTACGTTGTAATCAAATTAAAATAATTTGGAAAATCCAAAAAAGCATGCCTCATGAGCATTTAATTATTTTTTTATGAAAAAATTAAATTGTATTCCGCACTTTTAAAATTCTTTACGTGTTTTACATTTAGCGCCTTATTATTTTAACTGGTGTTGTCATTTATCACCTACAGGGAAAAAGTTTATAATGTTTACCAAAATAAACCGATTACACAAATAAATTGGATATATGCTGTATAGTAAGTACATTTATCATTTGTCTATCAAGCGCTAAAAATATGAAAGCGACTTAAAATTTTTAAAAGTAATAAAACTGTTGCCATGACGGCTACACATTGTATAAGCGCAATATTGTTATTTTGATAACACAAAATTGCTTAACCTTTACGTGTCGAGAGTAAAGCACTACCTAATAATGCTTTGCGTTATGCGGCGTGCGAAATAAATTTGTTAAAAATACAAAATGAACTAAACAAATGTCAGTTTGTATCATGATTTTTCTTTTTTTTTTTTGGAGTTGTGGTTTAAACTTATTTTGTATGGTTATTTAAACTAGTGTCGCTGTGTTCTAATTTGAATATTCGTGTTTGTAAAGCAATGAAATTCAGCTTTATGTTTAATTGAGATGTATTTGTAGTTGATCGATAGGTCATTAATACCGAGTGGCGGTGGCATAACAGACTCTACCACTACTATCGATGCTTTTAAAATTTTTTATGTATTTAAAATTTGGTAAGCATATTATAAAGTTTGTGTGATTTAAAGGTTATAATTTTTCTCTAATAAACATATCAAGTTCTATGTAATTATACGTTGTCCGAAAATCTTCTTCATAAACAAATTTCATAATTTCGTAACTACATTAGTTCTTACAGCAATACTGTATAATATTCTGTTAGAAGTTTTACCACTTATTAAACAAATTTTGTGTTTTTTTGACATATGTTCCTTAGTTGCGCCCTGTAAGTCTTTAGTTTTGTTGGTTGAGCCCGTATTGCTGCTATTGCTTTTAGTTTTGTAGTCAATCGTAGATGAGGAGCGGTCATTTCCGATTGTCTCAATTGTTTGCGTTTGTTTAATCATTTAAATATACAATCAAATTGTATATTTAAATGATATAAATTGCACATTCAGAAAGATAAATGGTTGTTGAACTTATTAATTTTTTTATCAATTCGATTAATTGCTATTTTTTCTTAAAAAAGTGGTTTTAGTTGCTTATGGTGTAAATTTATCAAGCCCGCATGGTGGCGTAAGCATGATATCTTTTGAAAATATCAATTGTTCAGCTCAATTTATGTTTTAAACTCTTAATCTATCATGTGGGAAGGTAGTTTAATTTTGTTTTGTTTAGTTATAATGTGCCGTGTAGTGGCGGTCAAGAATATCCACTACCCCATATCCTCCCGTGGGTGTCGTAAAAGGCGACAAAGGGAAACAGCCAGGAGATGGGCAGCAGCATCTTCCTGATAATAGCCAAATGACAATAAAAAAAAACTGCGGTTGCCAACCCGCTCGCCAAGCGTGGCAACTATGGCAAATACCCCCCAATGATGAGAGCAACAAAAAAACGGCCCCCAGTCCCCGGCGGCCCCGCTATTCCTGGCTACGATGGCGACCATGGTAACGGCGGGGCAGGGGGTGCTAAGAATCTCCGGTGGAGGTTCGGTTGCCACCTTAGACGACTCGACCTGGCAACGTACAACGCACGCACCCTGAGGACTGACGAGAAGATCGTGGAGCTGGAAGAAGAGATAGACAAATTGCGCTGGCATATTATAGGATTATCTGAAGTCCGAAGAGAGGGGGAGGACACGGTAATCCTCGAATCCGGCAACTTGCTCTATCACCGGGAGGGCGACCATCTGTCCCAAGGAGGTGTCGGATTTATCGTCCACAAGTCTCTCGTTAACAACGTTGTAAAAATCGGGAGTGTGTTGACGAAAGTTGCGTACCTTATACTCAGAATCACCAAACGGTATTCGCTGAAGGTCATACAGGTTTACGCACCAACCTCGGCACACCCCGACGAGGAGGTGGAGGAAATGTATGAGGATATCTCTAGAGCCATGCATTCCTCCAAAACCCAATATACGGTGTTAATGGGAGACTTCAATGCAAAACTAGGCACAAGAGAGAACGGTGAGCTGAAAGTAGGGAAATTTGGAATAGGGCAACGGAACCCAAGGGGCCAGCAGCTGGCCGACTTCATGGAGAAAGAGGGACTCTTTATGATGAACTCTTTCTTCCAGAAGCGGCCCCACAGGAAGTGGACCTGGTCGAGCCCCGACGGTTCCACAAAAAATAAGATTGACTTCATTATGACGACCAGACGACAACTGTTCAGTGATGTCTCCGTGATCGCGAGGGTGAATACTGGTAGCGATCACCGAATGGTTAGAGGCACACTGAACCTAAACGTTAAGTTGGAGAGGTCTCGTCTAATGAAGTCAACGCTCCGTCCCCCTCGTGCTCTGTTTCAAAGTCCCGAAACCTTTCAGCTCGAGTTACAAAACCGTTTTCAGTGCCTAGAAGACTGCAATGAAGTGGACGATATGAATGACAAGCTCGTGGAAACTGTCCATGCGGTTGGAGCTAAGTTCTGCAAGACCCGCCGCAGAAGAACACAAAAACTCTCCGATCACACTCTTAATCTCATGGCTGTTAGACGGGAGATGAAGCTACATTCTTCAACAGACTTGACAGCATACAGGCATCTGAACAGACAGATCTCCAAATGCATGCGGCGGGACTTACGCAACTTCAATACAGCTCGTATTGAAGAAGCGATCGAGCGGAACCAAGGCTCCAAAGTCTTTGCCAGAGATCTGTCTGCCAGAAAGAGCCAACTGTCAAAGCTGAAGACAGAATGTGGCAGCATCGTTTCCGGGACACCTGAGATTTTGAGTGAGATTGAGAGGTTCTATGGGCAGCTGTACACATCATCGTTGGAGCCACACGCAAGTGTGAGTAACGATCCAAGAGCGAGTCTCATCCGACACTATTCCGAAGATATCCCGGATGTCAGTCTGAGCGAGATTAGGATGGCTCTCCAGCACCTTAAAAACGGTAAGGCCCCAGGCGAGGATGGAATTACAGCGGAGCTTCTGAAAGCGGGTGGAAGACCGGTACTTGAAGTCCTTCAGAAGCTCTTTAATTCCGTCCTCCATGGTGGCAT